TATTAGAAACAAGAGTAATAATTTGAAATAATTCTTTAGTATACTTGGTAAAATTGATTTAAAAACATCTTGCGGATCATGACATCCATATTATTTTATAAAGAATTTATCATATTTTATTCCAAATTGAATTTTTCAGTGTTAATAGCTCACATAGCCAACATCTTTTTCAATAAAAATTGTAAAAGCCCCTTTAGCTATTTTCAAAAAAGTTAAGCGTTTTGTTTCTATTTTACCCAGCCCAACGCAACGGGTGAATCGAGCTGCTAAAAGAATCAGATTTGAGATCTGAATATATTTAGTTGCAAAGCAATGAAACAAAGTAAAGTAGACATTGATGACCCAGTATAAAAGTTATAGCATTTCCCTTCTATCTTTTCCAAAAGGGGCGAGAAAGGGATTTAAAACTATGTTTCGCTTAATGCGTTTTGAATGGCCCGGCTCAGACCAGTCTCGCATTTTCATTTGTAGGCGACCTTTGATGGATATCTTATGCCCAGAATATTTAATTAGGTTGAACACCTCGCTCTTTTATCCAACCTGTAAGTTTTTTTTACCGAAAGACTCTACAAATAAACAAAGTTGGGATTACAAAGTAAAGTGTAATACTTGCGAATACTAGGTCAAGCAGTGATGACTTAATGAAACATTACAAAAAAAATTATGAGTTTTAAATAGGAAAGTTAGATGTTTTCATAGCAGCTACGGCTTATGAAAATATGATGCTCAAACAAACCCAGAGAGCCTGGAGGTTTCTCACACTTCTGTAAATATGCAGTATGATTGGAAAAATTGTCAAGTTTTGCCGAAACATCACTACACCACGAATTATCAGTACAGCAGCCCATGTCTCGAGAACAATAAAAATAATAAACAGTGGATATATTTCAACAACTCTAACACATTAAAGCAAGGGTTTTATGTTAGCAACTAGCAAACCCTGAGCTAAGGCTAGAAAGGTTGACCATAAAGGAAATGTCGGTCTGTGTAAATTACAAGGGGTGATTCAATTTAAGTCAATTGCTTAAATACTAATGGGATAAATTTGGCTTTTCTGGCCGAAAAATAGCCAATTTTGGTATAACACAAAAAAGTAGATAAAAGTAAGGCCGACCATCTCTCGGTAGAGATGATCTGACAGTAGAGGGACTGTATTCCTCAGTAAACAACAATTTACACAACTTTTGAAACAATGGAAGAAAAAAGAAAAGATGAGCAATCGTTAATATATGTATATGTATAAGTTATATACGAGTATAAACATTGTGTTAAATAAATAATGTGATGACAATGCTAGGATGCAGGTGTTGCTCCTAGAATTGTCATNTATATATATTTAACAACAAAAGTTATAGTCTTATTTATAATCAAAATACATTTATTAACATTTTTTAAAGCGAAAATCATACTTTTGATTCTTTTTTAACCTCGTTACAACCAAAGTTTTGGAAAATTGTCTAGTGTATCAAAAAATGTAAAATGTAATGTAATAAAGCGCAAAAACGTAATCACTACGCACTTTTTTTTAGAGCACTCTGTGCAAATTTGTTTAACATTTTTACATTTTAGAAGAAAAAAGGTTCCCGCATTATTCCCCCGCCTTTTAACCCTTTAATAATTTTTTTAACCATTTTTGCATACGTAAATGTTAAAATGTTACGATTTTAATATGTTTTACATTCTGGAAAGAAAACTTCTATATAATTTAATTAATGCGTTATTTACAGAATTTCAAACAGTCAGTTTTGGGCTATTCAATAAATTTTATATTAAAGGGTGGGAAGAAGAGGGGATCATAAAAGTTTAGCATACTGGGTTACGATCGTTACAAAGACTAGAGATCCTTTTGAAATATGGCCCTCTCTCACATTGTTCACTATTTATGGGATTTGGGGTACTTCAACAGGTTCTCCTCTAGAGAGTACCGCTACTGGTAATGTCTACATGTTTGCTAGCAACCAACGCTATATACATATATTGGTAAAATAGCTCGACACGACCGGAGCTCGAGTTTTTCAAAAATATCACGTTGCTCGTCTGTATGCGTGTGTGCATGAGCAAAAGACTTATTACAAACAACTTGGCATTACTAAATAACACATAACATAAAAGTTTCAATTTTATAACATCAATACAATGGAGTCGTACAAATAAAACTCATAACTCGGTAAAAAGTTGAAATAGTTATATTTTTTCATGCCAATTATTACGAAAAAAGTGTATCGATGAAACCAAAAGATCGACACACCTTCCTTTTTTTTTTTGTTTTAACGAAAAATTGATATGCATGTATTTCCAGTTTCTTGTAGTGTGGAGGTCTCATAGTTAGTACTAAGGTTAGATCAAAAGATTTGACAATTTGCTGTTTTGTTAAGAACGTCGTAGTTTCCTTCCTTTAAAAAAACTGTGAAATCAAGTATTTAATATGTTCCCACTCTTTCACTCACTCTCTCTCTCTTTCTCTCTCTCTCTCTCTTACTCTCACTCACACTCACACTCACACTCTCTCTCTCTCTCTCTCTCTCTCTCTCTNCTCTTGCTTTCAATGTTATTAGTATAATGATAGTCCTTTCCTACAGTGGATTAATTTGCAAATATAATATGAAAATGACGACGTGGGATGAAATTATATACTATATTATATTATTTATTATACACTATATAATAAATATAGTGCATTGTTGTGAAAGGAAATTACTGCTACATTTACAGTTAAAAATAAATTTTTGTTCAATTGTTGCATGAAAAGCACAACAAAAAATAAATTGTTTTCAATACAACGTCAAACGACGGTTAATTGCTTTGACAAAAATGTGACTTGGATTTATAGTGTTCAGACCACCGTATTGATTGTGCTAAAATGCCTTCTGACCCTCCGGAAAAATCCGTTGTAATTAGAAGAGCATCATTCATCACAACACTTTATTATAACTCCTTTCCTTTCAGCCCCTATTTTTCATGACTCGGCAGGAAAAGGATTATGTGCCTTTTGATTTTCACTGGCTTGCAAATAAAGCAAATTGAATTAATTTGTTTTTTTAATGAAAAATCTAATTCTTAAGTTTTAGTTCATTAAATCAAACGAAGTGTAAGAATCAGTACTTTTCTCGAAAACAATTACATAAAGTCAACTTTGGTCACATTAATGTATTATGTGTATATGTAGTAATGCATTGTATCCACATTATGTATCTTTAGCTGTTTGTTAATTAACTTTCTTCGTTAAACATATGAAAATGGTTTCCTTTTTAACAATGTCAGTTTGGATTTGTTATAATTTCTCTTCTTTTTTGTATTCCCCTTTTAACATTTAACAATTAAGCTTTCGTATAAAGTGCCGATCTTTGCCAATGGATGTCCTGAAATATTCGTTTCTTATATGAAGTAAAGAATTCATCTCAGGGATATGGTATCAAGATCTATCTGCTCAAGAATTTTACCAGTCATAGCCTTTTCCTAGCTATTGCAGGACTGTTGTGAAGAATATGTTCTGTTTTCTCTGCTTCTTAGTGGTACATTACTGGAGCATGTTCAGACAGAAGTAGAGGGGAATGAGGAAGCGGATGCCCTTGAAGGATAGATCCTGAGTGAGCCATTTGTTGCATAGGGCATACTATCAATGTGTATCTTATACAAGAAAACATGGTGGAAATGAGGAAACATTAGAATTAACCACTGGACACAGACAATCCAAAAATCTCTGAGTAAGATTTAAAAAAAAAAAGTAGAATACATCAAAACAAGCAGGAAAACACTCAAATCCTAACAGGGCACTGTAAACTGAATGGACATTTGAGGAAGATTGTATAAACCAGTACAATACATGCAGGAAGAAGCCGAGGAGCCATCAACATTCCTAATAAAAAAACTGTGATTATATGAAGACCTATCGTTATAAGGAATTGCTTTGGGATGTACAATATAACCACAGAACAAATACAACTGGGCCTAATAATTAAATTCCTGGGATTCACCGGTGTGCTATAGATACAGAACGATGTAATAGCTCTCAAATGGCACAGTACACCAAATTACCCTGAACTTTCACATCTTAAATCATCCTACTGGAGCAAGTCCTGTATATGTCAGTTAAAAACTTAAATTCCTTTCTGTTGAGTAAGGATGTCCTACTCGTAATTCCTTTCTCCAATTGGGTTGTTTTTGCAAATAGCTTTTTCCTTGCTTCGTGCATAGTTGACCCTCCCAGTACTGCCGAGATTACAGTTCTTGTTTAATATGGCTATAGTTTATTCTACAAAATAGACTTTTTGTTCTGAGGCTCCCTTTGTAGCAAACATATTAGCTGCTTCATTGCCTGAAATCCCCTAATGTTGAATGGTTTTTCATAGTACGGTATTTTGTCTGATAAGTCAAGGATAATTTTAGCAATGTTAGTTATTTTAACTTTTCCGCTGTCCAATGAATTCTCAATTCTTCAATCACTGCCATCAATGATCATCACATAAGTATAGGCAGCTTGAGTATACATTCCAAAGTTTAAATAGAGTTATTATTAAGGCATGTTATTCTTTGGACTTCTGTAGAATTTTTTTTTCCTTTTGTTGTTCAATTTTTGACTACCATATGTAATTTGCATTATTGATCATGGATCTGGCAATCATAAGGTATGACCATAAGATGATTTTATGCTTCTTCGTCTTACATATGAAAACAGAAGTTATATTTACTGTGGGATTGTTAAATTTATCATTATTATTGATTATCGAAACATATTTCAAAGCATTATTATAAACAAGAATGATGTAAAGATTAACTGAGGCAGCAAGATTAACTGAGCAAAGAGAATTTGAGTAACTGTAAATTCGAAATTTGAATTAAATTAAAACTTGCTTTTTATATTTAAGTATACCAATAGTAAAGCCATTTATGAAAAGAAATGCGTTCTAATGGTGGTACACAATACACCTGGTTGTACAAAAAATTATAAAAATTATTTAAGACATGTTCAATGCATTTAGTAACTTTTTTTTGTATTTCAGGTTTCTTGGGTTCGACATCGTGATATACACATACTCACTGTGTCAACATACACGTACACCTCTGATCAAAGATTCATGGCTTTGCATCACCCATTAGATGACGACTGGACACTTCAAATCAAATGGGTACAAAAACGTGATGCTGGAGTTTACGAGTGTCAAATTAGCACTCTCCCCGTTCAAGGATATTTCATAAACCTTAACATTGTGGGTAAGCAGGAAAAACATTAATAATATTGTTAAAATGCATAATTTATTTTTATTTCATCATAAAATTTGTTTATTTTTAAATATTCATTCATTCATTCAGTTTTTGAGCTATACATAGTGCTCACACATTTAAAAAATGTAGCTAGATCATCTCTGATCATCCTGGTCAGTTTATTAATTTTTTTGTTATTTTTTTATTTTTTGATCTTTTTTTTATAAGTCATATGGTAGAAAATAACATGATTAATATAAAACCCAAAAGAACACACCTGAAAGACCATACCAAAAAAAAGCATGTCAGGATGATAAGAATAAGACCCTAGAATAATAATAATTTACAATTTATTAAATTATTTTAAATTTTATCCTTTTCCTTGCCAAGCACAATATTTTTTCACTTCAGAATATTGCCGTAAAATAAATTAGCAATATTTATTCCAGTAATTACAACAAAAACCAAGAGCTTAATGCACACATGTTACAAGCCCCCAAAAAAGATTTACAAATAAGTATAATAAGCCATTAAAAGCCACAGTACTTAGTGAGAACAATAATTTTAATTTAAATAACTTTTATAAATTGGTAAGTTCTTTCGTGAAATAGCTGATACAAATAAAACTCTCTTTTTCTCCTTTTGTTTTATTTGAATCCATTCTGTGATGGAAGATTCTATGTTTGTTTTATCCCAAGTATAGATTCGGGGCCAATGTATGGTCTTGCAGATCCTCCTCTGGCCAGTGTGTCTGCTTTTTCGTTACTCAAAATTCCTTTGTGCCCTGAATTTTTATGTGATTTTTGTACATGCTAATGTTGCTTGGCTATCAGATCTTATGAGGATTTTTTGCCAGTGTAACTTCTTTTAAGATTTTCTAGGGCACAAGCATTGATGGCATGTATTTCTGCTTGAAACACTGAAGTGTACTTGTACTGCACATATCTTGTACATAAAACACCCGATTCGGTTCCTTTGTTTGTTTTGGAGGCATCTGTATACCATATGGTTAGGGATGGTTAGGGTATATACCATATCATTGTATCTGATGCTCTCCTGAGTTCTCCCTCTCCTTTATAGTCTGTTGAGACTTTGTAGGATGTTGTAAAGAATGTTTCTGGGATCGTATTTTCAGTCCCCATTTCTAAGAATATATTTTATTAATTATGATTGTGTGCCCAAATTGTTTGGTTCATATCAAACTTGATTGTTTTTGGAACCTAAATGAGTTTTTCCTAGCCTCGTACAAATGTTTCCAGCTTACCAGTTTTTTGTATACTTGTAGGAGTTGTTCTCATTGCCCCTGTGATACTGTTTGCTAATCTTTGTATGCTGCCTAGTGATTGAGTAGCTACGTTTTGTTGAGCTTTGGTCCACCAGATAAGCTATAAGATCCATAGCTATTTTTGGTCTTATTATTGCCGTGTATAGCCAATGGGCCATTTTTGGTTTTAATCCCCAAGATTTGCCTAGACTTCTTCTTGTGGTCATTAGCAATATTTTACTTTTTGCTATGGTATGCTGCATGTGAGGGTTCCAGGTTAACTTCTTATCAAAGATCCTGGGTATTTAACCTCATTTTTTTAACTGTAGCATTTCATTATAGAAACGTAGGCCTTGTATTTCTGTTTCTTTTCTTGGCAAAAGCAATTAGGGTAGTTTTTGAGGGGTTTGCTTTAAGTCCCCGTTGTGAACACCATTGTTCCTTTATGTTTAGTGCTCTTTGGGTAAGCTCTTTTAATGTTAAGTCGAATTTCCCCTAACTAGTATGACAATATCATGTGCATAGCCTTGGGAATAAATTCCGCTTTCATTTAGAATGCATATGAGGTCATCCACTACCACATTCCACAATAGAGGCGAGTTTTCCTCCTTGTGGATATCCTCTCGCTACCACAGCTTTTACTTTTTGGTGGAGCATACCTGCACTTTTCTGCTTTTTAGCATTGATTTTACCCATCTGCAGCAGGTTTTGTCAGTTCCTCGCTGTTTGAGTGATGTAACCATTGCTTCAAAAGGAGTATTATCAAATGCTTCTTCAATGTCCAAGAACCTAATGCTCTTTTTTGGTTGTTCAGTGAATCCTCTATTTGTGTCATTATTTGGTGTAGTGCTGAGTCAGAGGTTTTTCTTTTCTGACAGGCATGTTTATATTTATGAAGGTGTTTTTCTTTTAGAAAGCTGCCCCCCAACATGTTTTTCAACTAGCCTTTGAGTGTTTTCAGTAGAAAGGATGTTAGACCAATCAGTCTATATGATTTTACATCTATGTAGTTTTTCATAAGTCATAAGGCATGTAGGTCGAGGCTATCATCATGTCTGTCTTGACTCCTTCCTTCATGTAGTTTAGTCTAATTACTATTTGGTCCCTGGAAGCTTGTAAGTAATTAGACATTGTAGTTCATTATTAAATGAAATCCATTTTCTTACATTTTGTTGCGTGTGGTCATATATGATTTTTCTTCCCATATCTCCCAGTCCAGCTACTTTACCTTTTACTAGCCAGGGTTCCTGGATAAGGACTACATCAATGCTGTTCTCCTTGGCCATGTGACAAAGCGTTAGTATTGCAGCCTTACTGTGCTGGAAGTTTGCTTGAAGCACCCTCAGCGTCAGTCTTTACTGCTTTTGTGATGTCCCTTAGGTTATCATTGCAATGCCAAGTTTAAGTTTTAAGGTGGCTTGCTTAAAACTATACCTTGATTATAAAATGAGCAAAAAGAATTTTTTTAAATTTTATAGATTAATGTTGATAAATGTTTGAACGTGGCAGGATTTATTTTTGCCACAATTCACTTAAATTAACCTTTCTAAACTTGTATTTCATTTATTAACAATTTATGTTGGCGTATTGCAGAACCTGAAACATCGACATCTACGACTGACTTTCCAGTTGATCGTTTCATTTATCAGAGAATGTATATGGATCACATGTATAAAGGTGTTGATTATATAAGAAAAACTAACTTTTTTTTTAATTTTTTGTCAATAAAATTTCTAATTTTGTTTTGCCAAGCTAATAAAAATACACTTGCTTTCTTAAAAATTAACTGTTATAATTTACTAATAATAAAACAATAATAGTAGTAGTTCATGAGTCCTACAACAAAATCTAATAATTTTGCCAACTCCTAAAAATTAAAATGTAAAGATATGTTTTTTTGTGGTTATAATAATAGTAGTAGTCAGTCAAGTGTCCTACAACATAGCCTAATAATCTTGCCTAATCCTAAAAATTAACATGTTTATATAATGTGCAAAGTTTAAGCACAGATAGACAACTAAGGTCATCCCTCCGCAAATTGTTGCTTCTTCTTTCTATCTTTCACACATCTTTTTAGCTATGTAGCCATTTCAGTGTCTCAATCTGGTTACAGACTATCTGATTTTATAATATAAAACATATTATGTATAGTAATTGATATCCTAAAATGCTAATCTATTATTGGTTCCTTAGGTGACTAATAACAATAGTAGTTCAATGATGATATGGATTAATAATAGTAGTTATTATTGGAGAGTCCTACAATAAAGTTAATAATCCTAAAAATTAACATGTGCAAATATGTGGTTTTGTTTTTGTTTTTGTAATGCTGATAACCAAATTGACATAATTTGCTACTAAAATCTAAGATGTTTTTCCTTATTTTCAGTTCCTACTGCTTCAATAGTTGGAGGACCAGACATTTATGTAAATTATGGAAGTACCATAAATTTAACTTGCACCATTAGGCACAGTCCAGAACCTCCAGCATACATATTTTGGTATTACAGTAAAGAAGATGATAACACATCCACAAACGCACCATCCACCAAAGGACCAGTAAGGGTAAGAAAAAGTTTTTCTATTCATTATGTATAATTCATATTGTATTGATTAATTAATTTATATAGGCTCAAGTGCCCCCAATACGTGCAGTTTGAAACTTTCACTTACTCATTTGTAAATACATTTTTTCCTTACATACCACTCAAGTATGGAGGTGGAGTACCCAATATTTAACATCCATTCCCTAGCAAATTAATAAAATTACTAGAAATAATTGAGGCGGGGTGAGTATATCAATTCACTTTTTGGAAAAAATGGTTCTACAGAAGCGGCAAAAGGGATCTGGTAGGGTACCTATTACGAAGAGGTGTCTTCTCAGTGGGCAGTGGCCCATCAGAAGATATCTATCAGTACTATATACAATAAAACATCCCTGTTTCCTCCAAAAGTCAGAACACAATACCCAAATATTCGCTGGAATTCTTATATTGGGAGGCATTCCTACAAGCTCTCTATTTGGAGCCAAGAAATGACACCCTTCAATTAAATGAGAGACATCAAACAGCCTATTTCTTCATGCCGGACAAAAAGGCTTTGGCCCAGAAGTAAGTATCAATGTGTCAATCTCTCATGGCCTATTCTTAATATGGTGAGGATGATCCCTATTCTATGATTCAGGTCCTCCAAGGGTTCACTCTTTGCATTCAAAAATGATATGGGTGGCTGGCTGTTTCGTCCTCCTCATTACATTATCTGCAAATGGGATTATCATTATATAGGGTGTATCAACTTCTATAGTCCACCCATTTAATTCGGAAACGATTAACTTAAGCAAAAAATGGTCTTGTGCAAACCCCAAGTTAATTTTGGTGGAATCACGTGGTGATAACAGTTTTAACATAACTTTCTCATCAAGCTGACAAATCACATTCACTTTGTTATTTTAAATGAGAATCCTGTATTTTTATTGTACAATTCGGTTCTAGAACTTATTTTGTACCACTTTTTCTAAATGGAAAATTTTGATAGGATTGACCATTTCTAATTATGCCTGACGGAAGAGGCATGAGGGGAGTATGCTTTATGTAGCAACAAGATAGCCCTCCCCATTTATTTAAAAAACGATTAACTTTAGCAAAAAAAGCTAAAGTTAATCGTTTCCAAATTAAATGGGTGGACTATAGAAGCTGATACACCCTGTATATGCCCATGTTATGTAGATTTCTCAGATGCCAATGACTAGTTAATAGCCCTATAACTCCTCTGCGTCTGGCCCTCTCCAACTGTGGCAGTGAGTTTGCCAGTTTTGGTGAGGATTGTTTTAGCATAAGTTTACAGTGTCTAGCGCTGCTAGAGTTTATCCCCTTCTCCTTTTGTTTTATTTGGATCCATTCTGTGATGGAGGATTCCGTATTTGTTTTTGTTATCCCAAGTATAGATTCGGGGCCTATGTATGGTCTTGCAAATACTCCTCTGGCCAGTGTATCTGCTTTTTCGTTACGCAAAATTCCTTTGTACCCTGGCACCAAGATATCATCAGGCTGTTGTGTTCCCCAGGTTTTGTTTCACATTTTACTTTATATAAATAAACTTACCATTGTAATTTGTAGGTTGTGAGTTATGATTCTGAAAGAGGTGGAGTGAGTATTATAACTGACAAAGGTGATGTCACTACCAGCCGCCTTTTGATTACCAATGCCCTACCGACAGATGAAGGCCGTTATTCCTGTAGTCCGTCTAATGCTGATATGGCCACAGTTAGAGTTCATGTGCTTTCAGGTAATATGTCAAACAATACATACACAAATTACAAAATAATAAATATAGGTTATAATTTTTTTAATGAATCTTGACAAGTAAAAAGCATAGTATATTGATAATTTGATTCAGTGTATCAACTTCAAACAGAACAATACTAAAATACAAATTATAATTGATTGTAATTCCATTCAATTCACTAATTTCGTGGTCCTCTTGACCAATTAATATATTATAATTAATTAAGGTTTTTAGTTGAGATAAAAAAGTTAATGGCACGAGCGGGATTCGAACCCACGATCTTCAGCTTGATACGCCGCTGCTCTACCACTTGAGCTATCGTGACCTCGATCCACTCGGACACCAACTTCCCATCTCAACCGCATTTANTCAAGTGGTAGAGCAGCGGCGTATCAAGCCGAAGATCGTGGGTTCGAATCCCGCTCGTGCCATTGACTTTTTTATCTCAACTAAAAACCTTAATTAATTATAATTGATTGTAATGTTCATATTTCCAGGGGAGAGTCCTGCCGCAATGCAAACAGGAGCATCGCAATGGTTAAAATGCCATCACGCATTGACATTATTTATTGCAATAACATCGACGTGGACTAATATTATAAGAGTAATTCGACTATAATTCTTTGGGCTAATTGATAAATAATATAGTTTTAATATTTTGTAAATTATTTTAACTGGCTAAGGACACTCACTTTACCCACATTATATGCCATTAAGGTTCACAGATTTTCTATTTTCTAAATTCTTTGAATTCCAAAAAACACTTGTTCACGTTGTATATGTGATGTTTATGACAATTAGTAATGAAGTTTTATTGCAGCTGATTTAATTAATGCGTTATTGAGAAATAAAATTACAATTTGGTGTATTTATTTAGACAAAACCTCTTCAATTCTGGTTCACTTAATTATTATTAGTAGGAGTATTTTGTTTTTTAATTTAGTTTGGGAGATGGCTACACCTCAAATGGGTCCTTAGAGTGCAAATATAACTTTTAACTTTTGAAGACAAAATTATTAATATGGTGAATGTGACTGACATGCTTATGTGAACAAAATATTTAATATAACCTTATATTTATGTAAGTTCAAGTTGAAGAATAAGCTGAAAAAACAAATATTGTTACTTTTAACAATTCGTGTTATTGTTAAATATACTCATGAATTAAGTGTAATTGTTAGACTACTTAAGATGATTTTATGAAAGCTGAATCACAAAATGAACAAGTGATAGAGATATAAAATGTAATCATTTTATTCTTTTTACTTTATAATCATATAAGTAAATATTTATATCAGTATTATTAATGACTTGTAAATATTAAATGTTGTGACCTTAATGGCATTCATAAAAAATATATGTAATAAAATTGATGTTATACATATGGGGATGATTTAGCAACATTTGTTTGGCTCTGATGAAATGTTCGGTTTTATATTTATACAAAATGATTCTTATAATGATAAAAATGATAAAAGTTAAACACAAGCCAACACTAAAGTACTATTCTACATATTTAATAACTATCTATTTGTTGAATGTGTCAAAGGGTGTTTACAATTTAGCCAAAAACAAAAAAAGAAGAATCAAATTCTAGCTCTTACATGAATTCTGAAATATGTATGTTATATTTTTTTATCTAGGTCTTCACATTAAAACAGCAAATCCTTTTTAATCATTGAACAACTCGATAAATTATTTTTATTCAATAACTATTGATTCGTGTAAATTACATGACTATACAAATTCAGAGAGTTGTAAATTTTGCTATTACTCCAAACGCTTACAATGGTAAATGCATAGATAATATGTCAAGTATTGATTAATCTAGAATAAAAATAAATATGTTCTTTAAGTGTAAAATATATGTTTTCATCACAAAAATATATTTTTCAATTCTCATCTCCCCAATTTTCTCACTGATTGCTCTTAAATATTTGTCAAAAGTTATACAAAATACGTTTTTTCTTATAATTAAAATTGAGAAATTTGGTGCTGTTTTTATGTGACCCAGATGTAACTGTAGTATTAAATTATTAATGTTCATTCATTTTATTTAATCAATTTTTTCTAATGAGATTTCCCTTATTATATGTTTACCAGGATAGTTTGACATTATGTCACAATTTATAAATTATATTTTTACCTTATTTGAGGTTGTAATTTCCAATAGAATTTTATCTATGCAAAGGATGAGAAATATTGCAGTATGAAAAAATTTCCCTCTAATCATTTTGAATTCTTATTTAGAAAAATCTAAGAGTACACAGGGTCCGAGATGTGTTAAATGTTCATTGAATGAATATACTTGCTATGTAAATATATTTTAATTATTTACCCATTTTTAATGTTATATGTATACACACTATATATAATTCTTAAGTGAAAGAATATTTAAATGTCCATGTAAGTTTGTTTGAGTTGAGTAGAATATACATAGTAGTTCTTTAGATCATCTAAATATACAAAAAACATGAATCCAAAGTATTTATGGAGACATAAGGGGAGACATTGAATCTTTCTGTGTACTGGAGCAATCTCAGTTATTATATCTCTTAATTTTATTAAATTAAAAAAAAATTAGGTTTGGAAAAATTTCATCACACTATTTCATTCCATACTTATACACATACATATTTTTTCAACACACATACGTTTTGTCTAATGAACAAAGATAGAATATGTAAAAAAAGTAATTTTTTTACAAAGTCCACTTTTTTTATTATGAAAATGAATTGAAAATATACTCTCTAGGTAGAGTGTAAGTAAATATATGTGTAGTTACAGAAAGCATTAATTTTTGTAGTACATAATGTTAGGTAAAAATTTGGTTTGACAGTGAATAAACTAGAATGTGGCTGTTGTAAATATGACTAACAAATGGTGTCAGTATTTTTTTTTCTGTTTTCATACTTCATTTAATCCTATACCATCAATTCATCAAAAAATTATGTACACATACATATATTATAAGGTTATTTAATTGGTGTAATTAATTTCTTTCACTGTAGTAGAAATAGTACATCATTTTCAATAATATGCTGAAAACTGTCTGTAATTTACTCTTTATAGATTAATATACCATATGTATTGTATTCATTAGTGTGCAAATAAATATAACAATTTTTGTATTTGATAAAAAAATTATTTTAATTTGTAAGGCTTCACAATCCTTGTTGGTCACGTGTGTCATTTTTGTGATGTAAGTTGGTCCTCTGTTGGTCCACACTAAAAAGTGTCATAGGTAAATATTTTATTTAGAAGGTGAACAATAAATGCCAAAGATCAAGAAACAAAGTAAATAACAAAGAGGCCATAGAAAAACCTAATTGTTGTGATAGAATAGAAGTTTTTTTCTGTCCCCTGAATATAATAAACTGTCACATAAATGTAATCCCATTCCATAACTGTTTTAATTAAATAAAGAAAGGCATGTCATTATCTTTATGAAATGTATTGTTATTAGTTTTAATATGATATTTGTACATGGTTGTAAATAATTAAATGTAAATAAACACACATGCAAATAATCACAATCTTCACTATTTTTCATTAATCCTCTATAGTAATTCCTGAACTAATGTATTGTGTGAGTTTTTATAAAACACATGGTCTTTTATTTTAGCACTGCCTATTTTATAGTAAAACTAAGTATGGTTCCGAAGATAATTTTTCAAGTAGACTCTGCTGGTGCTATTAGAATTTTAATAAGTTAGCTTGTTAAACTGACCTGGTGATCAACTGATTTTTCAAATGTAATGCACTGTTTTCCATTCTAAAAACAATGACACCAGAAACTCAAAAATGCATTGATCCCTTCTGGAGAAATTGATGTTTTTCTTCAGAACTACATTTATCGTGTAACTGGTTAAAAAAAAGAGAAAAATCAAAATGTAATTGAATAAAATATGAAAATTTAATTTGTGTCAAATTCGATATCAAAATTTTCAGATCAAATCAGATTTTTTTCACACATTTTGAAATCAGATTTAGGTAAAAAGCAAACACACTAGCCAGACCATATATAGGCCCTCACTTGTGACAACAAAATCAATTACAGAATCCAGAATGGATTAAAAAAATTGGATAAACTCTAGGGCACTAGACCCAGTAAACTTATGCTAAAACAACCCTCACCATGACTGGCAAACTCACTGCTGCAATTGGAGAGGGCCAGTCTCAGAGGAGCAATAGGACTATAAACCAGTCACTGGCATCTACATAACATGGGCATAATCAATGATGATCCCTGCAGATTATGCAATGAGGAGGAAGAAACAAACATATCACCTTTGAACACGAAGCAATGGCTCAATGGAGACAACCTACAATATATATACAAAAAATATGTAAATACAAAAGGTATGAAATTGTGGCATCAACATTCAATGATGACCTCCATTTGTAGGTTATGCAATGAGGAAGAAGAAACAGCCACCCATATCATCTACGAATGCAAAGCAACTGGTCAATGGAGACATATCCAAGAATACAAAGAAACCCCTGGAAATGAAATTGTATTCATTGAAGCGCAGTCAATGACTTAATACTTCTGCAAAGAATCGATTGCCCTGAACTAGGGAACTAGGAAGGTACAATAAGCCATAAAGCTGCTACAACGGGAGCACAAACCCTGCTTCCTAGTATCCATCATCATCATACAAAAGAAATAGATTCCATAAAATAAATTATATTAATATTAAAATTGTAGTACAATAAAATGAAAGTTAAAAATAATAATAACACTCATGGTCACAGTTGTCATCACTAACTTGATTTATTATTTGCACAGAATTTAAGAAGTGATCAAATTTATAGACATATTGCTTTGAGATCAATTCTCACTTTTGTAGAGGCCAAGTTGAACCCGTTGTCAGAATGTATCTTATTAATCTCTGTAATCTTAAGATTAAGTCTTCCTCGGGGCATTAGCAATGAAATATAAAGTTTCTTCCCATGTTTCTTCGGTATCTTCACAGGAGCATGTTCTATCAAGAATCCGAACCTATGGAGGTAGGCTTTCCGTGTACACTCAATGCTTAGGTAACCACACATCCCATGCGTAAGTACTTGGCCTGCTGTCTGTCAACAATGTGAGGGAGTATTTTCTTGTTGCTCTGCCATTATCAGTGCTTTTCCAAATTTGTTCCCATTTAACATAAATTACTTGTCTGCAACTTTCCTTAAGAACATATACAAGAGCCCTGGAATAGTAAGTATATTGGAAATGTGCTAAGTGTAGCCACTTTCATAAACTTGTCAGCTTTCTCAATTCCCTCGATACCAGATGGGCTTTAACCCATTTGAACATAAATTCTCAGCCAGTATTATTTAGATATAGTAGTACTTCAATGGTTTCTTTTACTTTTTGCGACTTCGATATCCCAACACACAATCAAGCAACGGCTTTTAAGCCACTCTTGAGATTGTTTCTCTCACTCCAATGCTTTCTTGATCGCCATCGGCTCAGCTTGATTATTAAAGCAAATTTCAGTGTTTTTTTTTTTTTTTTTTTTTTTTTTTTTTTTTTTTTTTTTTTTTTTTTTTTTTTTTTTTTTTTTTTTTTTTTTTTGTAGTGTGCATCCAACTCACCAATTCCGCTTCTATCAGTATATATTTCATACAAAGTGTATTGTTCTTGGATGAATCCATTCTGTCTTTGGAACAGGGTTCTCCATCCCAATATGATGATAGTGATACTATGATATTATAAAAAAAAGATTCATATTCTATGTTCTTATATGTTAAAGCAAGAGATGTAAATAAACTGGAGTCACATTTGCTATAACTTATGCAGCAATGATATGGTCCTATATCCTTTAATTCTTCTCAAGTCCATTAATCTCTAATAAATTTTTTCCTATTGTATCCAGTTTCCATAGCTTCTAGGCAGGGACAGCGTAAAACATAAGCAGAAGTACAGCTCCAATCTATATAATCATAAGGGCGTTGATTCCCCAGCTCCACGTTTTGCTGTTCTAGAAAGGTGCATTTTTTTACATATTCTGCATGGAAATTCCGGTTGAATTTTTCATCAAAATACACTACAAGCTATTTCAATTTGGATACTTTTCTAATCTTTTATAGTTCAAGTAGACCACCACCCTTCTATTGGGTTGTCCGGAAAATAATGCAGGATTTTGGTATTAAACAAAAAAAAAGAAACTAGTTACTTTAAAGCAATGTTCTTTAATCAAAATAATTTCCCATACTCTCAATACATTTCTCCCAACGTGTTGGTAACTTATTAATTCCGTCTGAGTAGAATTCAGAATTTTTAGAATTGATAAAGTCAATAAATGCATTT